TGTCCTTCTAATTTTTTCTTATTCAAAATTATTGTATAATCTCTTCTTCTGTTTTAACTAATTTATTTTTAACTTGGTTTTCAACATTTTCTAAGCGCATAAATATTCGTTCTAAAGAAATGGATATTTTTTCAAGTTGTAATTCTATTTTTTTCAAATCTTTTTTCATAGATAAATTTACCTTTTTCTGTTATTCCTTTATATTTTATATTATGATACTTAAGTGCACATAAATGGCATATTTCTATCATACATTTTTGACATTGGTATCTATGATTAATATCAGGATAATATTTGCAATACAAACATTCTCTATTCATGCTACCTTTTCCTACTCCTAATAAATGTTCACAGGTAGTCATTTGTTTATGACAAATTATTACATCTATCGATAGCCTCTATTAATCCATTCATAGCTAAATCTGAATTTCCTGAATCCAAATCTTCATCAGTTATACTATAAATTGTTCCTTGAGATTCAGTTGATGAAATACTAACTATATCTTCTTCTAAATCTTGTATTAATAATGACCTATTTTTGTTTATGAATTTTTTATCGCGTCAATTTGTCAAATGATCAGGAGACCCACAAATATAACAATGACATTTACGAGTATTTGGTTTTTTGACATTTCTATCTTTTCTGGGAAACTTTCTTTCAGATTTTTTTAAAATTTTACTTTTTCTTTTCTCAGGAAAAGATTGAGATGTATATATATTTTTATATAAGGCATAAGATTGTTTTTTAATTTGTTTTTGTATTTTATATTCTCTACATTTTTCTTATAATTGCCAGAATGTAAATATTATTCTTGGCCCTATACCTAAATGCTTTATTTTTTCATTATTAGGATAAGTAGATTTTCATTTATCTTGAATTTCTTTTCCAAATTCTCCAGGTAATTTGATTAAAAATCGATCCAATGTTTCTTGATCAAAATATTTTCCAGCTCTGCTAGCAGAGGCTACATATAATTTACAAAAGCTATTTATGTTTGACCAGTTACTTATACTTAATTGTTCTAGATTTCTATACGATTGGTCTTGCATATTTGTATTCTGTCTACTTGTATCAAATCCTAGATTTAATGTTCTAATAAATTTTGTAAAATTATAAGAATTATCTCCTAGTTGTCTTAGAGTTTCTATTTCTCCTGCCTTTTTTTATTTTGGTTCATTATAAATGTTTACAGCTATTTCTCCTAACAAAGTTTTAAGAAAATCAAACATATCTCCTACTCCTCGTTTATCACTATTAGTCCAAGCTCTGACCGCATCAAATTCCCATTTACTAATGACAGATTCTTATATTTGCAGATTATTTAAAATTATGGTTTAAATAGTTTCAATTCTATGGGCTGGTATTAAATTTATTTTTTCTATTGGTTTTATCGATCTTCTAAACCTAAATTTTTGGCTATCATCATAAAAGTCATATCTTGAAGTTCCTAGTCTATATGGTCTTCCTGGTCCATCTTCTCCTGTAGGTGGGACAGGTTCAAATCATGGTCTTTTACCTCTATCTTGTGGTTGGGTTCTAATTTTGGTTTGAACTTCCCAGTGGAATAACTTCTCCAAAATCCATATTCATTTTTATTTCTTCTTTATTAACTTTCTCAATTTTTTGTCAATCAAAATTCTCATGAAATTTATTTTGATAGGCTAATTCTAAATCGAATTTTCTTCTATTATTTGGTAGGGAATATTTAACGAAAATACTGCGTCTTGTAAATCGTGATATGTTTTGATATTAGAAAATTTTAAATAACTCATATGGAATAAAATATATAATTGTATCATTTTAGTTCATATCTATTTCAAAATATCCAATAATCGATTTTGATCAATCATTCCAAAGATTATTGAATAAAATTACTAAAGTTTTAGTTCATAAAATTTTTCTATGAAATCTTTTGATTCCAATTATTACTAATCCTAAATGTATTTGAATCATTTTCATTATTTTTATTTTTTCTCAATCTTCTTTTGTAATTAACGGTATTGTATTTGATTTAAATCTGTGATACAACTTATTTTTCGTTGTGTGATTGTTTGAATAATGTTTAATTTGAAATTATCGAATTATCATATAATTTCCTTATCATGATAAGGTTAAGTTTTCCATTATTAAATTTTTCGAGTTGATTTTCTATATCTATTATTTCTAATAGTTTTCTATCATAATATATAGGTGTTCTTTTAAATAATTGTAAAGTCATTTGTATATTTATCATTTTTATAACTTAAACGAGATATATAAGGAATAATTTATTTTTCAATTTTTAATACTTTTTGCAAATTCATTTAAATCTCCTTATTTTACAATACAAGTTTGTTTATTTTCAATTTCTAAAATTTTTATTTCAAAATAATTTATTTTCTGAAATATTTTTAGAAGTAAAATAGTTTGGAAATTTATAATTTTTTGGTACGTTTTATCATTATTTTGAATTTCTAAATATGAAGTTAGTCCTATTACATTTATATGATAATGTTGACATTCTTTTAAATTTTCAATATATATATTAATTTCTTCAAACGTACTCATCTTAAGATAATTTGTTTTAATTTATTTAAAACTATATTTAGTTTTTGTAAACACCTTTTTATATCATTTAATTGATCAAAATCTTCTTTTATTTTACTAATTAAACTGAGTTTAACAAAATATTTTGAATTTTTATTTTTATTTTCATTATAATATTTATTTAATTTTCTCATAATTTCATCATTTTGAGATTTTATATATACTATTTTATTATTTACTTGTTCAATCGTTTGTTTTTTGATATTAATTATATTCGTTCTTTTTTCAACTATACAGTTCTTTTTTCAACTATACAATATATTTTTTCTTAATGAAACTGAAATGATCCGGCTAATAAAATAACTAGATCTATGATACTATTTCTCGAAGTATTTTTGCTATATAAACTGTGTCTATATTTTGTATCAAAATAACAATTAAATTTATATTTATCTATGATAATAATATTTTTTCTATTTTTTGGTATTTTCTGAATTAATCACTGAATTATTTTTGGTTCCATGAACTTTCTACTACTCTGATACCAGGAGGGGGAGGGTCTAGAATTTAATGGTATCAGAGCAATACTTGAACAAAATTTGGACAACTGGGAATTCATTCGAATTGAGTTTAAATTTGAGCATGCACAAGAAACATGATAATGCTTAAAATGAAGTTATAACTTATAAGACAACAAGCTCTAAATTGAAGTGCAAATGAATATGCAAAGTATTGCAATTCATATGCAGGATGATTCACTTGCAATTGAGGATAAAAACTAAACAATTGATCGATTTGAGATAATTACATTAGCTACAAGGATATATGACGAATGCAACACACTGTCCACAAGACCACAAGTAAAGAAGACTAATATGCAACAAACACACTAAAATGGCTTACAAGCAATAATGTATGACGTCCAATAGATATCAAAGGGTATCATGGCCTGAAAAGCAAACAATGATCAATGATAATTAACAAGGATATGTGATCTAGTTGTCAGTAGATGCACAAAAATATCTCAGCAAGCACTACAAATCATATGCCAATGATAGAAGCGTCCACATCAACCTTACAAGAAGATTTAGCAACTTTTGCAACTAATCACTATTCAACGTCAATTGAATACATAACTCTTTCACAAGTAAAGACGGATGACGCGTCCTTTACAAATGCAGATACGCACTCAACACCAAATAACTTGCAGACAAATACATTAATCTGCTTACGAACAAACATCAACATACAAGCAAGTACATCAACCACCGTTCAGTGTCAGATGGCGGTCGATATGCAACAAATGCAAATACATGTAAGATGTCGTAGGAAATTCGTTGTACACCTAATATGTCACCGCAAGCAAACTGTAAAATGACTATAGCACATATAAATGCCTATTGCCGGTGCTAGAGGATTTGTATGCAAAGCAACTTGACCACGAACAAATGGATCAAAAAATGTTTAATAATATAATTAACGGCAAATTACATTAATAGATAGTTAAAAAAATTAAGCACTCTATTATTTAATAATTCATTAAAAAATTAAAACTAATTGAAAATTTTTAAAAGATACAAAAAATTTCACGAAATTAATAATACAACGGATTATAACAGTTTAATTAAAAAAATTAGGAAAACAATTTGGTTTATTGAAAAATCAGAATTTCGTTTTCCAGTTTATAGAAACCAGAATTTGGTTTTCCAGATTATAATAAACTGGAATTTGGTATTTCGGCTTTGTAAATTTATATTTTGCTTTTTTGTTCACATCGTGTCATATGCATGTTCATGTCTCCTGTATGTCATTCTTTAAAATTTCTTTAGGTCTAAATTCCAGCAACTTCCTGATGTTTCCCCCATTTAGGGACCATTGCGTAGAAAGGCACTCATGGTTAGTGTCCAAAGACACTGTGATTGGAATTTTCAAAAACCACGGTGTTAACAAAACCCACATGAAATGCCTACAGGAGAGAATTTAATAACTCGAATCGGTCATGAAGCACATCTTAAGGTCAACAGGCATCCCTCTTACAACAAACTACCACCGCTGAGCTCTTGACATTGGTTACCACCTAAAGCTTACACGTGTTAATGAAGCTACAGCATATGACCAATGAAGAAGATGATCAAAAATGTTTTGATATTATCTGTCATAGAGGATTTTTGGGGGATTAAATAAATATTTCAGGCAGTTGGTAATAAAGCAAGAAAGAAAATATTCATTGCATGATTTTAGGAACAAATTTGAATATTTCTTGGATGTGTTTAGAAAGAGGCAAAATTGTTATTAAACTGGATTAATTTAAACAACTTGAATTTCAAAATTATGCAGAGAGAGAATGTAATCTCTAAATTAAACAATATGTTTAGCTGGACAAATGAGTCTCAAATTGAAATGTCGTCTAAATGTATAAATATCCTTCAATAACCGAATCATGCCATTCAATTTCAATATAAAGATTACAAACCTGTCTGATCCTTTAGGAATATTTGATATGGAAAGCTTGTCTACATCGCTGTACTCCACCTTCATAGACTCAAGAGTATTATTGGTGTAGTTTACAGGTACCAAGATTGCAAATCCCAAGAAAGCAATAGGAACAAATATCTTAAGCCTGTTACATAAGAGATCACTAATAAGGACAATGGAAACTTTAATACTTCAAGCCTGTCATACTATTTTAGTATTTTAAGAATAAAAATGTAATTGCAACGTTGATGATCATGTTAATTGAATTTCATTTGATTGCTAGAATAATTGATACCTACGAAAAGCATCACCATCCTAGGGACTACGGCAAATACCAAGGGGATGAATGCAGTGACTGATGGGGCTAATCTACAAACTTAGAGTTTCAGATTATCTCAGAGTTTCGGATGATCTCAGTGATAATAATTCTTTAGGAAATTCTTATGCTGAAGCTTTAAAAATTCTCATTGGAGTAAATCTTCTAACCTTTAACCTTTCAACTCCAAGAATCCTCACGGCCACATAACAGTTTACTACCTGTTTCAAATATTTGGATAAGGAGCATTTTGCAAGTGAATATAGAAATTGTTGCATTAGCTTTGGATGTAAAAAATTGGACAAGTGATTAAAAAGTGTCCTCTCTTTTTCGAAAGGATTGAGAAATAATCCATATGCATTTTCTATAAATAGTGAAAGATAAAAGGTTCGAATTATAGTTTTATTTATATCACCTGAGGTGATTGTATCTAAGTTTGAGAAACTTATTCGTTTGGATAAGCAGTAAGCATTGTATTGTTAATGATTCTTTCTCGGAGGCCAAAGTGCTTACACTAGTTTATGACATTAAGCTAATTCCAGATATTTGACTCTTCATCCTAAAATCCATGTTTAATTTCCCATTATCAATTATGTCGGATTATCCCTTTAATAAATCATCTGATTTATCTCACAATTTTGTTGAAAATGGCAAGGACTGCAATGCCGTTTTATTGTATAATGTCCTGAACATGTCTCACACTAGTCAGCTCTCTCACAGTACCATCATGCATTATGATGAAGATGCTCTCTAAACCAACTGGACGACAACCCTGATCATTTCTCATTGTCACAACACCACTATCAAGCTCCTTGTAGGTACAAAACCACTCTCTAGTAGGACAAATATGATAGGTAGCACCAATATCCAAAATCCAGCATGAAGCATCTGAATACAAACTCTGAGATACTACAAATAGTGATACATTTGAATCTTAGTCACGCTAAAGTTAGCCTCAATGGAAACTCCCTTTCTCTTCTCCTTTAGCATCAGGCAATCTTTCTTCCAATGACCAGTCTCCAAGCATAAAGCATACTGATTCATCCCAAGACTACACCCACTAGACTTGCCCCGCTTGCCGCTACCGCCCCTTTTATTCTTCTGTTTCTCATATCTTCCTTGTTGGAGTGTGAGAGCCTCAACTGAATCCATCTTTGTACTTCTTGTCCTGAAGCTGGAGCTCGTGATTTAGCAATGCAATAGCCACCTTACCATAGTTCAAAACCTCCTTCCCATGAATGAGCGTCATCGTGAAGTTTTCGCACTTCTTAGAAAGCAAATTCAACATAAGGAGCACCTTGTTTTTATCTCTAACATCTTCATCCAAATTCAAAAGATCTGCTAAGAGCTTTGTAAAGCCATTCAAATGTTCATCAATTGTAATTTCATGCCTCATCTAAAACATGTAGCGTCGTTGTTTTATATGGAGACGATTCTCTAAGCTCTTTGTCAGATACTTGTTCTCCAAAATCTTCCACAGCTGGACAGTAGAAGTCTCCATCATCACCTCATACTTAATCTCCTAAAATAATCAATTTTTTATCAAGCCACAAGCACTCAGATTCATCTTGAGTCAATCTCTCTCAAACATCTCTTCAAAATCACCATCCAGAACATCCTCCAGATTCAAAGACTATAGTGTATCTATCACCTCACATTGCCACATGTCAAAATTTCCTTGGCTGTCAAATTTTGTCACATCGATTTTAGCGAGATGTGTAACTATCTGATGGATCACTTCCTTCTCCACCGTTGAGATGGATGTATCCATGGCTCCATCGGATCTCATAGCCTCCACCAAATTAGAATTATCTCACATGATCAGAATTACACCAATCTGATCCTCAATCTGCTTCCAATGATCCAGAACAAAAAAATCAAACAGCATTTGCTTGCTTTGACCGATCACACAACTCTTGTCAGAGAGTCCAAGCTCTACATGCTGCTCCTGTGCGCTAAACTGCACACTGTTTTCCATGCATGGTACTTTCGTGCGAAGCCTCCCTGCTATGTTTGGATGCACCGCACGCAAGCACCCCAAGCTCCTTATACACGAACCATTTGGTATGTTTGTTGCATACATGCAAAACCGCGTGACGTGTTGTGCCTTCACATCCACGTGCTTATGCACCTTCCCGGACCCGACAACCTTCGCACAATCATGCTCCACGTGAATGACCCAATTTGTTGTTTGATTGGCTTAGACACCCACAACTAGCGAGCTTTGCAATTGTCCTGCTCCCGCTCGTGATCTTCCACACACAGCCTCTAGGCCCAGTGTTCACGCAACTAAAGAAATCAAGTACGAAACTCTAGTTAGGTTGAAACCTTTGTACACGCGTCTTCTTTGTCAGGTTCGACCAGCCTGTTACGTGAGTGTCTCCAATTTCACGTGAAACATGCTTCTCTGATACAAGAACGGATTGATCTTTTTTCATTCTTCACACTGCCACCGGAAATTACAAATATGGCTCTGATACCAATTGTTGCACAAGCAATCACAACGAAAATAATAAATCACACGACACAAATACAATAAACATGGTGATTTATGTGGTTCGACGAAGATGTCTATGTCACGAAAAGGGGATTATGATTTCACTATATTAGAGAACAATAGGAAATTATAATAGCTCTCAAATTTTCTCTCTTGCTTTACAATAGCCCTCACCTTCAATTTATAGACTTGAGACAAAACAAAATAGGAAAAAGCTTCCTAATCTAATCCCCAATCAAATCCCAATCAAATTTCAATCAAATCCAATAATTAGGAAATAATCAATCCCTAATCAATGAGACATCAAAGCCTTCCAGATCAAGGCTAATTTTAATTTGGAAATATTTCCAAATCAACAATTTATTTGTCTAATTTTGGCTTGTGTTGTGATTAGGCTTGTCCTCTATCTTTTTCTTTTATTTTAAAGAGAAGGGATCCTCCCAAACTTTTCAACTAAAAAAATTCATGTTATTGAAAAAATAATTTCCAAGTAAAGAATAAAAGTCAGAATGGTCTCAAAATAACTAATGATAAAAACATCTCATTGGTTATATTGTGGTAGCTAGAATAAGCAAAGCTGAACATTTCAAACTTGTCTCAAATTCAAACATTAAATTAGTGGGTAAAAAGAAAGTCAACACAAAAGCTATGTGATGTGAAACCAACATGCGCAGGAGCTCATTTAAGAAATTTTAAGAATAGTTGACAATGAATTACCAATTAATAACTTATCGAAATAACAAGCAAGTTCATCAAAGAATCTTAGTTTTCAACTAGCTTAAGTGAGGAAGTACATGTAGATTAGCCAAAACTCCTAGGTAACCAAAGATAGTAGCAATAACAAAAGCTATTAATCAACAATCCGCAACTTAATAAAGAGAGTTTTCACCTTGGGAATGGATCACTCAACTACACTAGGCTTAGCGGAAAAAGGTCTTCAGCACACCCAATGATGCCACGAGGACGGTAGCAACACCAATGGCCTTGATCCACGGAAAGGTCGGCGGTGGCGGAGATGGCGGGGATGGATGGCCTTGGAGGATCCAATCGTAGTCTTGAAATTGGTCGTCTATGACGTCCACCAGAGTAGGCAAGATGCGATTTAGATAGTCATCAATAGTGTCGTCGAATCCAAATCCAACGTCGAAGAACTCTGAACGGGTGATGAGAATGTCGTCGTAGATGTCGTACACGAATCCGCTATCAAGCTCAGGATCCACCATTCGACATTGAAATGGAGAGGGTAGGCGTCGTATTCTTCTTTCCTTGGCTTCTCAATTCTCAAGAGAAGCAAGATGGGGGGCGGCGGGAGCAGGGGGAAGAGGGGAGTCGGCGGTTTCCAAGAGGGATCCAATGGCCATAGGTTTAATCCCAAAACCTGAAATTAATTTCAGGTTTAAGTGGATTTAGAGGGAAAATTCAAATTGAAATTAATTCAAATTTGAAAGGAATTAATGGGAGTTAATGGCAAATAATGGGAGCCCATTAAGGGGGCTGGCGGTATGAGAGAGAGAGGAGGAGGTTATGTTAAAACCTGAAATTAATTTCAGGATTTGAATGAAATTTGGGGGGAATTTGGTTTGAAATTTGATTTCAAATTGGCTTTGAATCAATGCCTTAAGTGAGCATTAAATGGAGAGAGAGAGAGAGGGCCTAGTAAGGCCGGCGGCATGGAGAGAGTGGGAAGAGGGAGAGATCACAAGGAAGAGGTTTCCAATTTGGGGAGATGACGTGGAAATAAATTTAAAAGACTCCAATTTAATTTAAATTAAATTGGAATTCGTCATGAAAACTTTCCTAAATTGGAAATCCAAATTAGGAAAGACTTTGAAATTTGAAATTCAAATTTCAAATTTGAAACTTGCGGAAGGAGGGATTGGACGTGTGGGGAAGATTGCCGGCAAGGTGGCCGGCCGGGGCCGTGGGAGTGGCCGACAGCAGGCTTCTAAGGGGGCGGCGGCAACAAGGGGTTTGGAAGGGATTTTCTTATGGTGGAGGGGAAAGGAGATGAAAGAAAACATGAACAAGAAGATACAATAACTTAACCACGAGCCGCGGACTCTTCCAACGACTGGTGGGCCTTGCGATTTGCTCCCCTTGAGCTCTCTCCCTTCTCAAGCTCTCATGCAAGAAGAAGTAGAAACAAAACACAAATTTTCTTTCCCATATTCATTAGCTATTACAAGAGAAAAGACCCATATATATAGGTCTCAAGCATACATGAAGAAATAAAGACTAAATTGCCCTCAGGACCCCAACATGACTCAACTCACATAACGGTACAATAGGAAAACATAAAAATAAAATGCATAAACAACTAGAAATATAAGCTCTGAATCGTGGCCATCGATCTGCGATGCTTCCGGCAATACACATGCTTGAACCTTGGATCGATGTCCTCATCACTATGTTTGAAGGTTTATAAGTCACATATTCAATCATTAAATTAGTCAGCAAAAAACAGGTCCACATGAAAGCTATGGTTGAAGGGTTGCTTGTATAATTACTTGGCAGGCCCTACATCATATGGTGCCCTAATCATAGCATTGAAACTTTCATAGAAATGCCTTCGGAACAATAATAAAGAATCACTCAAACTTTATAATATGCATAAAAATTATCTTATGAAAAGAGATGCATGGCAAGGGAGCATCCTACAAAATCTAATCAACAAATTGATGAAGCAATTTCTGAAACAAACAAGTAAGTAGAAAATCAAAGAGGGGAATACCCTAAAAGGTAAATCCGTAAATAAACAGCAGAATCTAATCCTGCATGTTCAATCAGCTCGGGTTCAGGCATTTGCAGGGCGGCAGGAATCCAAGCAAGGATCTTCAGATATGATGTATAGTCTAGATTGACAAACTTCCGGACAAATGCACCATTACTTGAAGGACTGCTTCTAAGTCCTTTAAGATACCATTTAGGGAAGTATACCCTGTCATTAAATGGCTGCAGTCGCAGTATCGCAAATGCCAGTAGGAACGCCAATGCGGACAGTATATTTATAGCTGCCGAAACACCAATGTCAAGAAGTGTAGCCATAACTTCCTTTTAGCTAAATAAAGATCACCACAAGATCTGAAAATAAGCAACAGTGTAAGCCATAGAAGAAAGATGACAGATAAATAAGCAACAATATTAAATAGAAACAGAAAGGAGAAACATCAATTTCATAGAAACAACAAATCTCTGAAACAAGTAAAAAGAACTAAAAACTATCATGAAATAGCAGTGAGCAAATGTTGTCCAGCATAGTTATCTAGTCAGTATCTGTTGTGAAATAACTTCCAAATATCACTGTACATTATGTTCACTCCCATCCGATACATTTAAGGCCTCGTTTGTTTGGCTTTTTTTTTTTACTTTTTCTAATTAGAAACAGGGAAAATATTTTTTGGTGGCTGTTTGGATGGGACGCTTCTATAGACATACTTTTTAGTGAACTTCATTTTTCTACTATTTTGAAAAGCTTTTTGATATTTCCTTCTAGGTTAGAAAACTTCATTCTCTTAACCATTGTTTCTAAAATTATATTTTACAAAAGCAAAGGAAGAACCAAACGAAGCCTAAGATTCTCTAGCCTTAGAACATCGTTACAAAGCCTAAGTAATATACGGTACATGGCACCACTATTTAAGACTCCAAGTCCTTTCCTTAACAGGATTTTAGTTCCTTGCAAGTACGCTAAAAACTGTAATTTTAAAGCTCAGTATTCAACCCAGATTATTTCATGGAAATAAAACTAACAGCAACATACCAAATCACACCCTTTCTGCTTATTTTCATCACAGCCAAACTTTCAGCAGCCTGGGACACACATCCAACAAAAAAACCCGAATAATAAACGCAATAGCTGAAGAGATAATTAAAACGAAGGCCTCTACCTTAAAAACGAACAGACATTGGCCAAAATTTGCTACTTTTACAAACACAAAAAGGTGTAAAGAAAGGGAGCAAGAACGCATTCCGCAGAACCAAGATTACGAGCAAATCTGCCTCTACGCAACTCAGAAGAACCACCTTCCAAGCTTGTAAAGATAAAATAAAAGAAACAAAGAAGGCAAATGAGTAACACAGTGGATAATGGTAAGAATAGAAGACCACCAGATCCATACAGAGAGAGGAACGGTTGTAGAGGTGGTGTCGAGCAAAAGGGAAATGAAGTCGATTCCTTTCCTTTTGCCGGCAAATCTCCGCTGGGCTAACCAAGAAAACCCTATCCCACAACGCAAAACTCTTCCTTTCTCAATTTACTAGATGCTTTCAAATCAAAGGAAATGATACCAGAATTTAAGCAAACGATGACAAATCGAAGAAGAGTGCAGCAGTCATTAAAAAACACGGATAGATCTCTCTATCTTCTCCCTCCTTACAACCTAACAAATTATCCCTTCTCTCTCTTCTACTTACCTTTAACTTTTTAAGCCGGAGGGTGGTGCAGTACACTGGTACAAGGAGTGATTGTGTCGGCAAGGGAGTGAGAGAGAGGGTGGTTCCTATTAATTTAAAATAAGAAATATATATATTTAGAATATTTTAATGTAAAAATATTTAGATTTTAGATTTTATTATTTTAAATAATAAATTCATATTTATCATAATTTTTTATTTATTTAATTTATATATATATATATATATTTCACAACTACAATAAAAATAATAGAATGAGATATAATTGTGAAAACTTTTATAGTAAAACTCTAGAATGGTAAAGAACTTGCCAAGATAAGAAAAGAAGATAATAGGAAAAAGGTATCACGGGATCGTGAAAGCCTCAGCAGGGAAAACTAGTAATGTAAATGTTATTTCCTTTTTCTTGTAAGATGAGTACAGAGTGTTTAAATAGACAGAGGAAGTTCCAGAAGATACTTCCTATTTGTGTAATACAAGTATTAACCCATACAATGATTGCCACGTGTATTGTTATGCTAACACACCCCTTCAAACTCATGGCTGTGTAATGGCTGTGAGTTTGCTAGAAATATGCTTGAATCTTTGAGTTGGTAGTGCCTTAGTGAATAAATCAGCCAGCTGGTCTGTTGTGCATATGCGGTGAACAGAGATGTGATTCTTCTTGATGCAATCCCGAATGAAGTGGCAGTCGACTTTTATGTGCTTTGTACGTGCGTGGAAGATGGGATTATTGGCAAGAGCGATGGCCGATGTGTTGTCGCAATAAACTGTGGTTGGATTGTCTTGAGGTATGTGAAGATCCTCAAGAAGTCGTCTCAACCAAAGAATTTCGAAGGCTTCTGTGGCGAGTGCTCGATACTCTGCTTCGGTAGATGACCGGGCGATTGTGCTTTGTTTCTTGACTTGCCACGAGATGGGTAATTGTCCGAGGAAGTTACAGAACCAGAAGATGGAGGATCTGTCTTGTTGGTTGCTAACCCAATCTGTGTTGGCGTATCCCTGTAGAATAAGAGAGTCTCGTTTGAGTGGAATACTTGTTTGTATGGTGTCGTGGACAAACCGAAGGAGTCTTTTGAGTGCTTCATGGTGACGTTTGAGCGGATGTTTCATATGTTGGCATAGTTGTTCTACTGCGAATTGGATATCTGGTCTTGTTAGAGTGAGATACTGAAGAGACCCAATGATTTGTCTGTATAGATGCGGATTGTCGTGGGGTTCGTTAGACATGTTGGTGGTGGTGACTTTGCACGGGATGGGTGTTGGAACCGATTTAGATTGTGACATGCCAGCTTTTTCAATGATTTTCTTTGCATAAGGTTACTGATGAAGGATAATACCGGAGTTTGTCTTGTGTGCTTGAATGCCCAAGAATTGAGATAGAGATCTTAGATTTCGCATCTGAAAATTGTCGTGTAGATTAGAGAGAAGTTTATGGATTTATGTTTGAGAGTTACCTGTGAGAAGTATGTCGTCGACGTAGATTAGGATGTAGAGGCGAATGTTCCCATATTTGTAGGTGAGTAGAGATTGGTCTGAGGCGCTTATGTGGAAACCGTACCATAGTAGATGATTTGATAGTGTTGCATACCACTCTCGAGGCGATTGTTTCAGGCTTACAGGGCTTTCTTTAGGCGACAGACGTGATTGGGATGGAGAGAATCTTGGAATCCCAGTGGTTGATGCATGTAGACGGTGTCAGATAGAGCCCCGTGGAGGAAAGCATTTGATACGTCGAGCTGGTGGATGATCCAATTGTGATGAAGAGCTAGGATGATGAGGACGCGTATGGTGGGCATTTTTGCCACCGGACTGAATGTTTCAGTGTAGTCGATACCGTATTCTTGTGTGTACCCTTTTGCTACTAGACGAGCTTTGTACCGGGAGATTGTTCCGTCGGAGTTGTATTTGACGCGAAAAGTCCATTTGGATCCGAGTACATTTTGAGATGGTTCAGGAGGAACCAGTTCCCACGTACCTTGAGATTGTAGAGCCTGAAATTCTTGTGACATAGCAGTGCGCCAGTGTTCGGACTTAGCCGCTTGACTGTATGTAGTTGGTTTGTTAGGTTGTATTATGTGAGCCAGGTCGAATATCTTTTTGGGTTTGGAATGTCCGCTCTTGAGTCTGGTAAGCATGGGATGTTGTTGTATAGGCTGAGCGTGGTGTGATCCCGTGGACGGAGTGTTGGCAGTGAGTGGTGTATTGGGAGGTTGTTGGGTGACCGGTTGTAACAGGCTGAGGTATGTCTCGGGAAGATGTGTTGGGCAGTGTGTTGGTGTTATTAGACTTAGGGATGGTGTAGTTAGTGTTGATGGGAGATTGTATGCTTGATGTGGGGACAAGCAAAAGTGGAGGAGTGGAATTTTGTAAGGATTTGGTGATCGTAGGTTGAGGTGGATTGGTGGCATAGGGAAAGATAGATTCGTTAAAGACAACATGATTTGATGTATATATTCGGTTCGTCGAAGGATCTAGACAGCGATAGCCCTTTTGAGATGTGGAGTATCCAATGAACACACACGATAGAGAAATGGGAGATAGTTTGTTCGTGGTGTAGGGTTTGAGCCACGGATAGCAAAGACATCCGAAGACTCGAAAATAGTTGTAATCAGGTTGTTTGCCGAAAAGAATTTCGTGAGGGGATTTGGATTGAGTATTGGGAGAGGGTAGACAGTTAATTAGTAAGTTAGCCGTGAGAACTGTGTCTACCAAAAAGTGTTGAGGGAGCGAAGCTTTGATTAGGAGCGTGCAAGCCGTCTCGATGAGATGACGGTGTTTACGTTCGGCGACTCCGTTTTGAGAGGGAGAATGCGGACACGACGATTGATGGATTATGCCGGTATTACGACAGAGATTTAAGAATTTGTTATTTATGAATTCGCCACCATTATCTGTGCGTAGGGTCCGTATGGTGCGATTGAATTGTCGTTTTATAAAGTTTTGAAATTCTATGAATTTTGTAAATACTTCAGATTTGTGCGTGATTGGAAAATCCATGTAAATTTAGAAAAATCGTCTATGAATGAAACGTAACATCTGAAACCATTATTTGATACAATGGGAAATGGACCCCAGATGTCTGAGTAAACAAGAGAGAAGGGAGAGTCGGTTACGGTGAGTGAAATAGATGTAGGCAATCTGTGACTTTTTGCCATGCGACAGGAGTTGCAATGTGAACTGGAAGCGTGAATGTAGTTGCTCCGTCTAAGAGAGCGGCCATGGTGGATGCATAAGGGTGGCCTAGCCGGTGATGCCAAAGATCCGAAATTTGTTGAATGGAAAGAAGAGCTAGCTGATCCATGTGATCAGCCCGGCAGCTTTGGTTTTGAAGAGGGTATAGGCCATTAATAGAAGGACCCGTGAGAATACGGCGGTGGCTCTTCCGGTCCTGAATTTCATAGCCGTTAGGGGAAAAGATAATGATGCAATCGTTGTCCTGAGTTAGTTTATGAACCGATAGAAGATTAAAAGAAAGATTGTGAACAAGATTTAGATTCTTTAATTCGAGACTACCTGATGGTGTGGGAAGAATGCCTTTACCGGTATTGTGGATCGGGAGTTGGTGGCCATTGCCAAGAACAACTTGGCCTGACCCGGTGTAGCTTTGAGATTGTTGAACATTGCTAAGATCGAAGGTTAATGAGATGAAGCTCCTCTGTCGAGGAACCAATCGGACGAAGTGGGTTGTGCCGGTGTCGTAAAGAGGGCCGGCATGGGATCGGTGTTATAACTGTCGTCATTGCGGTGCCAGCACTTGATGGCCGAGTGACCAAACTTACCACATATTTGACAGTTAATAGAGGGACGGTTCTGCCTATTTCTGCGCGGTTGGTTGGAATTGCTCGGTTGGCGGTTGTTTGATCTACCGGGGTACGAGTTGCGTCTGCGACCCCTACCGCGACCGGCGGTGAGGGCCGTTTGATTGCCAACGTGATTAAGTGTTTGAAGATCTTTAAGCGTTTCATGTGCAAGGTTGAGCTCTTCGTTGCAGAGGAGGGTATAAAGCTCGTCAAGACTTACATATCGAAGATTGGTGCGGATGGCCATTTTGAAGGCTTGATAAGTGGTTGGAAGGCCGTTGAGGGTGTAATGAATGACGTCTTCGACGTCGACTGGAGCTCCGGCAGCAGCTAGTGCGTCGACTTTAGATTTGACGTCAAGGAGGTATTGCGTCATAGACTTATCTTTCATAGACAAGAGATGTAGTTCGTTCTTGAGATGGGCAATTCTTAAACGTGTGCAAGATTGGAGCCGAGTGTCCAGAGTTTGCCATATCTCAGAACAGTGGTCGATGGAGAGTACGTAGGGTAGGATTGCGGAGGAGATGATGGAGTAGAGTGCCGCGGCGAGGTTTTGGTCGATTAGGACCCAGGTGGTGTAGGCGGGGTTTTGGATCTGGTGACCAGTGCTGGATTGGATGAATTGAGGCGGTGAGGGAGATGTGCCGGTCAAGAACCCTTCAAAGCCGTTTGCGCTAAAGATATTTAGCACTTGAGATCGCCAAATGGAGTAATTATCATCCGTGAGGACTTGAGTTGTAACGTTCTTGATGCTGTTCATCAAGAATTTGAGGGATGAGGGGATTTGTGGTGAGGAGAATGTACCGTCATTGGTGGGGTTTTCTGGCGGGGTTGCGGAGGAGGTGGTGTCTGTGGAGGCCATTGCAGACATAGATTCAGATGGTTTTGAGGAAAGGGGAGCCTGGAACTTCTGATACCATGTAGAATGGTAAAGAACTTGCCAAGATAAGAAAAGAAGATAATAGGAAAAAGGTATCACGGGATCGTGAAAGCCTCAGCAGGGAAAACTAGTAATGTAAATGTTATTTCCTTTTTCTTGTAAGATGAGTACATAGTGTTTAAATAGACAGAGGAAGTTCCAGAAGATACTTCCTATTCGTTTAATACAAGTATTAACCCATACAGTGATTGCAACGTGTATTGTTATGCTAACAAAAACTCATAATAGTATTAATAGGTGCAATATTTCAATATATCAGTCAGCGTACGATATTACATTTAGTGTCA